AGAAGTATCTTTATTGAGATTTAAAGAGATAAACTGAAGCTGAAATAATAAAGGAAAAGGCCTAGAAGTAGATAGCACGTTTCCTATGTAGATATATCATACTCTGTAATAGTTTGAAACAGTAGACATTGAACAATACTAAAAGACAAATTACTTGGATTACTATTATTGAAAATTCTAATTAATATATCTGAAAAGGTAATAGAATGAGGTTCAAATTTACTTTCGTATTTGTAATATAATTTAAAACAATTTTAATACTCAAAATAGGTTCAAGTCAACATTTGCATACTAACCTTAAAGATATAAATGATCATAAGGATTAATAAGCAGCAATACTATGAACATGAAAGCTTACACAATGCTATCACTCATAACAGAATTATTAATCCTCAAAGTTCCATTTAGAAACCAGTACTTTTTCAAAAAATAGCTGAGTTACATGATCGATATCAATTATCTTTGCCTGTATTCAGTTGATTGCACTTTATACACTGTTCAAATTTTTTTAATAATTCTTTTTCAGATGTTGAATTCATTTGAAATGTTATGGTAGATATTTGGGCTGTTAATGCTCTTTCTTTTAAATAATGTGAAGAAGGATATTCTCCTAGTAATCTTGATAACATTATTGACACAGTCTTAGAATTACTACCAATCAAATAATCATTATCATATTTATCTTTATGTCCTTCATCTGTTAAACATGCCATTTATTCTTGATAATTCAGTTAAATCTAAATGCTTCATTTCTTTTAATTTCTATTTTCTTAAAGGCTTTATCTCTTTCTTTCTTGCACTTGTAATACAACTTAAGTTTCAGATATTATGATTTATCTATAACATAAATTTAAGATAAAATATCTTTAATATCTTTAATTTGGAGTTATGGTAATCAATAAAATTTAATAATTAGTTATCTTAAAAAATATAAATTGCATATAATGAATGATAGTTTTTATGATAGTCGCATTTGGTATACTAAGTTATCATGATTTTTTGTAAAGATTAACTCTCTAAAGTATAAAGAAATGATTTTTAAAAATTTTGTTTTGATTGTCAGTGTCATTAAATAGCTGAAAATTTTCTAACAATTCACTAAGCGGTCTTGAACAATAAAGATTCAGTTTTCTTAATACTTAAAATCTGATTTAGAATTTACAGTAAATTAACTTTTGCATTTTGATAAATAAAGAAATAGCTTTTCTATCTCTAGCTCTTTTTTGTTAGAATAATCTGTGATATTGATAGTGGCTGCAAATTATTTGTACCTTAAGTAGTGGCTAAAAAAGAGAAAATAGTATCATATATGTAAGAAAAGGGATAAGAGAAAAAATAAAGTTAACTACGTCTCAAAAAAGTATAAAAAATACCTTATTCCTGCTCTGATAACTATTTGAAAAAAACATTAATAAAACTTTACCAGGTTGCTCTACATCTTTACCTTCTTTTCACTAAAAAACTGTAGTAGCTGTGTAGTATGCAAAGAGAGATAT